GTGAACAAATCCGGCTCACCTGTTTTCTGGTCTGCTCGTTTGGTGGGTTCTTTTGCCAACACCGGGGGTTAATCGGACACCGCGGCGATTATGATCGGGGTCGGATCTACACGATTTGACGGGTATTAGTCCACGAAGGGAATAATGCGGAGGGATTAGTTCACTAAGGAAATAATCGCTCGGATCTCGGGATCTAAGACAAGCTTAGATCCGGAGTGTGATCTCGTGTAGATCTCAAGATCTGGTTCTTCCCCTCATCGAACTCTGCCTTTTGTGACGTGGATGCTCGCCGAGGATCAGATCTGGATGGTCCAAGTCTTCAAGTCTTCAAACTCTAGCTCGGTCTTCCAATCCGACAGACGTTTCGGCCTCTCAAAAGTTCCACTTTTAAAATGAATAAAAGGGGGCCTATTATAGGCTACCTCACTGTGCCTTGGGCGCACAGTGCAGCGGCCACCTTGAGGTGGCTCTGGCTCTGCGGGCCACCTCAAGGGTGCTCGGCCACCGAGCCACCTCTATGGTGGCTTCGCATTGGCCGAGCCACCCTGAGGTTGCGCTCGGCCAATGGCCCGAGAACCACCGTGAGGGGACTAGTGGCTCGGCCACCGAGCCACCTCAGGGTGGCTCGGCTTTGGCCGAGCCACCTTGAGGTGGCTCGGTTTTGGCCGAGCCCCTCTGGGTTTGCTGTTTTCTGTCGTTTTGCGCTGTATCCGTTTCTCGGTTCTGTCCGTGATTCGGTTGACTTAGATTCTGATTTTGTTGATCTGATTTGGCAGTAAATCCGCTTCTGATTTGGCAGTAAATCTGCTTCTGAGTTCGAGTCCGAAACTAATCTTGATTCGATCGTGATTCGTCCGAGTTTGTCTTTGGTTGGATCACTCGTTGACTCTTCAACACTTGGCTTGATTCTGAACGCGAGTGGATTTATTCCGTTGCTTGCGTGCGATTCGTCGCCTCGTTGGTTCGTCGGTTTGTGCCGAACTGTGCTAAGGGACCTATAAGCAATTTTATATGCCTACACCTGCCAGCAGGGTAGTAGGATGAATCGGAACCCCAGCTTACCACAGATAAGAACGAAATTTTGTACCATGAGGAAACTCGTCTTCTGAATGAGAGGTATAAGATTGTGCGTTCGTTTTCTCTAATAGCCGGTTGATCTCATTCGGAGTCAAAGAAGATAATCCGCACACCTCTTCCGAACGATTATCAAGGTTCTTGAACAAATAATCGGCGAATTGTTTCAAGCTAATCTGGGGAGATTTCTTCTTAGCTCTAGTTTCCATCTCAGCCATAGCTATGTGATAATGACAAGTTAATTCCCATAAAGTGTCATAGGTCACAGCTGACCGATCTTTCATCTTATTCAACTGAGTGGCGGTTGAGAAGAATTCTTGATACGGGACATCACCTATAGGCAAACCAGACACCTTCATCATTTTATGTAATGGTAACCCGAGCTCCCCATTCTTGGTGAAGAATGTATTGGTGTCAGGGTTGTAGATCTCGAACAAACAAAGGAAATGACCTACACTGATCTGCAAACCATTCATACTAGCACGGATCGGTACTGACAACCCTAATTCTGCCAATTCTCGCCCCCAGCGATTCAACACATATCGGGTCATTCTGGTCCACCAATTGTCTCCAAAATAATGGACCCATCCATAGCATCTAAAATTATGGTTGGGTAATTTCTTTCCCACTGCAGCTAATCGATTCTTCACGGTGTTTGCATGCGCTGTCTTTTCGTTCTGAGGTATATTATCTTGACCTAAGATACCCAGATGAAGTCCTCGCACAGAAGCCCTGTCACTGGAACCCGGGGTGGCTTCCTTCCCAATAAAACCACAGTGAATACGCTCGTGGCCCTGTCACTGGAACCCGGGGTGGCTTCCTTCCCAATAAAACCACAGTGAATACGCTCGTGGTTTTCGGTCAATCTCCAGAACATCTTCCCAATAAAACCACAGTGAATACGCTCGTGGTTTTCGGTCAATCTCCAGAACATTTCACGTCCAACTAATAAGTTTTTGAACTTTAAAAGTGAATGCTCCCGAGGAATCCAGGGCAGATACAGGAATAATGACCCACTCTCATATAACCACTGCGCAGGTCTACAAGAAACGATTGCCGGATCTCTTACAGAGTCACCAAACAAGAAATATGGCTTCCTTATGCACTGGTTTGAGTCTTGCTCTGAAATTAAAGTTGCGTTCGTGATTAACCGTCGCAGAATACAACAACTACCTCGCCGAATCAACTCTTTGGCCCCTTCGCTGTAGTCTGACTTGAATTGAGGAGCTGATTCAACTAACGTAATCCCCTCATAATAAGAATGAGTGACACTACTTTGGCCCGTAACCTCATTAGCAGTGAAGATTGCAGAAGGAAAAGAGACTGATAAAGAAGACATACACATAAGTTGTGTAAGAATAGTCCTAAAATTTTAGAGAAAGTGGTATATCTTACTCCATAAGATATAATCGCTACCTCATAACAGGTGCGACGATTTTCCATCTACCACATGTATAAAAGAGATATACGTTACTATGCACGCGCATTATAACGGCATATCAAAACCTTTCAACACACGTGGGATGATACGAAATCACCCTTGTATATTCTGAAGTGTGTTTTGTCCAAGCAAAACAAATACTTTTTAGCGTCGATCCCCTCAAAGGAGGATACCGGCTCTTCTCGAATGTATCTCAAAGGATGACAAGCGAGGGTTTGCATACGAATACAGATATATACATATAAAATTGACAAAATACAGTGTTTAAATTCGTGAAAGGGTGAAAGAAGTGTACCCCCATGCGAAGCAGCAACGGGAGCAGCCCCATCAGTGGTCTGAACAGCAGGACGACCCCGGGGAACTCGAGATCTACGCGACGACATGATGAAAATAAGAGCTACATTGAAATCCAACGAGAAAGTTAGGGTTTTGAGAATGGAATTGACAAAAATATCACAAAATACAGTGGAAATACGCATGCAGAGGAAGGAATTAAAGAAAATCAAAATTTCAAAAGAGGAAAGGGGAGAACAGACCTCCAAACTTCGAATGAAATCCCTCCAAACAAAAACCCTACTCAACTCAAGGGCAAAGAGAAGAAAGAGAGGCTGAAACCTCGTCGGAAATCGCTTGAAAACCACCCAAAAAGATCGCTAAAATCGACGTGAAAAGCCACCAAAAAACCCTAAGTCGGGGTTTTATAACCCCGACTTCGCCGAACGAGACAGACTTTACTGTCTCGCGTCGTGAGTCAACATTTACTATCTCGCACAGCGAGACAGTATAAGCTGTCTCATATCACGAGACGGCAACGATTGTTTTGAGTATAATAGGCGATATCATGGTGTTTCGATACACATGAATACTCCAATAGGTACACGAGTCTAAACTGTTTCCCTACCCTCAACAGGAAGTTTCTGGAGAATATTACTCTGAATATTCTTAAGAATAACCTGACAAACTCTCAACGGGTGTATAAGTATCAATTTGATAACAAAAGCTGAACTCACAAGTACAAATACTAGCTTCGATTCAAAATCTCGACAACGGTCAAGCGATAAACGCGGTACCGGAAGGATATTAGCTATTCTACAAAGAACTGAATAGACTAAAGGAAGAAGAGATTGGCAGTTGAAGCTATTTACGGGTCCTTCTACACGATCTACTCAACCAAGCATTGAAGGAATCATAAATAAAATCTATCTTATCCAAAGTATCCCAGACTCCTCTATAAAAGAATGCGTCTGGAATACTTTGGAGGGGGTATCTGTAGGCATCAAAAAATACTATAGATATCCAAAAATCATAAGAATTGACTTCATACTGTCTTAGAAAGATTAAGACAGGTATAGACTGTCTCGCCAGCGAGACAGTGTTTGCTGTCTCGCAGCGAGACAGTGTTTGCTGTCTCGCAGCGAGACAGTTTTGAAATGGTCAAAAATTAATTAATAACTTCCACCCACGTGTCCATTAACTGCCAAGGGACGTGGAAAACATCGTGGACGAAAATCACGTGAATAACTATAAAAATAACGGAGTTTGAAACGTGGGAAAGTGGTTACAGCAAAAACTGTCAGGCAGTTAGAATTTCTGAGATAGTATTTACTGTCTCGGAGGCCGAGACAACAAACACTGTCTCGGCAAATCACGTGAATAACTATAAAAATAACTGAGTTTGAAACGTGGGAAAGTGGTTACAGCAAAAACTGTCAGGCAGTTAGAATTTCTGAGATAGTATTTACTGTCTCGGAGGCCGAGACAACAAACACTATCTCGGCCGCCGAGACAGTAAACACTGTCTCGCTAGCTTAACTCCTTTGTTTTATTGTATTTTTCAGTTACGTGTCCCAGAGGCTATAAATACCCCCCTAGGGTCACCACTGACGGGGATCGAGCAAATTGGAGCAGATCTAAGCATAGAGAGCAGAGAGAAAACAACAAGAATTGAGTTCCTCGTGTGATTCCTTGAGATTTGAGCTTTGACTTGATCTAAAGAAGAGTGATCGTCTTACTTTGATAAGATATTCACTTCAAATTCCTACTTCGCTTTGACTTGATCTAAAGAAGAGTGATCGTCTTACTTTGATAAGATATTCACTTCAAATTCCTACTTCAATAAACGAAGGAAGAATCTATAAACCCCTCATAATCTGTGATTTGGTGGTCCACGAGTCAAAGCACTCCCGGCACAGGCAAAGTCCCACAAAACAGGAGTCGATAAACTATTTCTGTGTTATTTTCCAAGAGAGTTGTAATTTTCTCAATTTTTCATTGTAATTCTCTGTAAACAATTTAAGTTTTAATGGAATCATCAATGAAAATAACTTTCGACGAAAACAGAGAGGTGGGTCTTTCGGCAGAAGAGATTCAGAAATTTGAGAGCTTGGATTATGTGATGAGTGGGAGCAGGCACCAGAGGATGAATGCCATTCGTATTAGAAAGGAAAACCAGTTGTACAGTGCCGAGGATAAGAGGGCGTTGGCTATGTTCAATTATGAGGAGAAGGCGAAGAGAGAACATAAGGTTATGGCGGATCTGGAGAGGCTTGTGCAGAGGCATATCGGGCAGGACTTGGGACCTACGCATGACCCATTTGGAAAGGACTCCGCTGCTGGTGATGGTTGATTCAGTAACCATGTCATGCATGTGAACGGATACAGGCCCAAGAAGAGAGGGCCCACAAATAGTGTTGCAGGCAACCAGCTTCGATTCCGTTACTTTGCATGTGAAGTGCTGGCCCACCCATATTCTGCAGCATAGCTTATAAATAGCCGTGATTCCCTAGGTTAATTGTGCAAGGATTTGTTCGTACAAGAGGCGGCTGATTCGTGTGCGAAGGAGGTCTAGTTTCTGGCGGCTGCAGGGTGCGTTTGTGCAGACAAGGGTTCGTGCGACTACGGTGAAGAGGGCTTTGTGCACGGAGCCTTTTGCAGCTGCAGTTGGAAAATCACAGAGAAGCCGCTGACTTTGACAGAGAAGCAGCCGACTTTGTGAGGGTTTTTGTGCATCCCTTTGAGAGAGTATTTGTGTGAGGGATCTGAGAGTTTGTGAGAGGGTTTAGATTGAGTGATTGTAAACCCTAGTTGTATCTCTCCCTCTAATAGTAGATCTCCCCCTCCTTGTCCCTGGACGTAGGCTATTTGCCGAACCACGTAAAATTTGTGTTCTTGCCATGATTTGTAATAGCTTGTAGGATCCCTCGACAGGTCAGTCCTAGAACTGATGAGAGGAAGAACCGATATCTCACTTTGTTGAGATATCCGCTTTAGATTCTTGTTTCCTTAGTGAGACAGGAATTCTTACGATCTAATCTCTTGTTGTACACCTTGCGCACCGGAGGTGCTGCCGAAATTTCCGCTGCGCACAATTGATATCAGAGCTCCGGGTTGGATTTGGGAGCTTGTTTGAAGGATTCGCTGAAGGATTCCTATTTGAAGATTATATCAGAGCTCCGGGTTGGATTTGGGAGCTTGTTTGAAGGATTCGCTGAAGGATTCCTATTTGAAGATTAGATCGACAACATGGGTGAAACTGAAGGATTCCTATTTGAAGATTAGATCGACAACATGGGTGAAACAAGCACATCGGGATCATCTCTTACAAAGACGATACATAGTTTGAGCATCAATAACATGAAGATTGATGTTCTAAAGTTCGACGGCAAGATTAACTTTGGATTATGGAGGTGTCAGGTGATGGATGCCTTGGACGCTCAGAATTTGGAGGAGACTCTTGAGTTACAAGAGAAACCTGCCGAGATGGAAGCTATGGTTTGGAAGAAGATGAATAGTAGGGCGTGTGGAGTTAATCGATCATGCTTGATGCCGAATCTTATTTATGATGTGATGAAAGAGACGTCGGCGAAGAAGATGTGGGAAACACTCAATGAAAAGTATCTTACTAAGAGCATTGAGAATCGGCTTCACTTGAAGAATAGGTTTTACCAGTTCAAGATGAAGAGGGGAGTTTCCATAAGGGAGCATGTTAACAACTTCACGAAGCTACTTTCATACATGGCCAATGTGGATATCATAGTTGAGGATGAAGACAAGGCGATGCTACTTTTGTGTTCGTTGCCCGAGGATGATTATAGTACTTTTGTCCTAACTATAATTAATGGAAGAACTACTGTTAGTTATAAGGAGGTGACCTCAGCGTTGGTGAATTATGAGTTGAGGAAGAGTGTTGATGAGTCCTCCGAGAAGGCATCGGGAGATGCATTAGTAGTTCATGGTCGTGGTTCAAACCGAAGCAGAAGGTCGCAGTCTAGATGTGCACATCGTGGGATTCGTAGGAATCAGTGTGCCTTTTGTAAAGAGGATGGACATTGGAAAGCTGAATGCCCAAAGTTAGATCGAGCCGAGAAGAATAAGGGGAAAGCTGTACAAGTTTCAGAGATGAATGTTGTTAAGACTAGTGGCAACAATTCAGATTCAGATTCTTCAGGCTATTCTTTGTCTGTACTACCGTCAGTTTGTGTTGCCAACTCTACAGAGTGGATGTTGGATTCAGGTGCTTCATACCATGTTTGCCCCAGGAGGGATTGGTTCTCCAGCTTTTAGAAGTTGGAAAGAGAGGATGTTGTGCTCATGGGTAATGGACATACATGCTCTATTGGTGGTATTGGTACTGTTCGTATTCGGATGTATGACGGAGTGATTCAGGAGTTGGATGAAGTGAGGTTCGTTCCACAGTTGTCGAAGAACATCATTTCACTAGGAGCTTTGGTGGCATCTGGCTATAAAGTGACCTTGGTGGATGCACGTTTGAAGGTAGGAGCAATTTGTATTATTTTCTCGGAAGCACGACGGTTGATAGGGAGATGACGACTTTATCAGATTCGGCTAGACTGTGGCGTTATTTGATGCTGGGTTATTTGATTGGTAATGCCGTGCATAGGTTGTTGAGGAGTGCTATGACCTGCAGTTTGAAGTCCTGTGAACCCATTGGTATGAGCGAGAAGACCGAGGTGGAGTTTGGCACATCTATCCATCATTCGAGGGGTCTTCTGAGGGGTGTTCATTCAGGCATTCGGGAGCCTTCCAATGGAGCATCATTGGGAGGTAATAGGTATGTGGTTTCTGCAGTTGGGGATTGCTCTAGGCATTGGTGGGTTGCAATCAAGTCCCATTGGTGTGAAGTCCTAGAAGCCCACAACAGATGGAGGAAGTGTGTTAGTAGAAAGGTAACCCGACGTTCTGATTATGGTAGGGGTTCTTTCTTGCATTTGTGCCGAGCTCACGGCAATAAGAGACACTTCATTGGTGTGGAAACTTTGAGGCGACGAGGCGAGATGACAGATTTGGGGACCTATTCCTTTCTGGAGGATGATCGGCATTTGATGTCGAGCATTGGCATTGGTGTGTAGGCTACGACATATTTGGGTCATCTTATGTATAGGTTACCGACTGCTACATGTAGAGATATAGGATCTGGTGAAGTTGCTTCAGATTTTGGGTTGCGTCGGATGTTTGGCTACCCAGCACTTGGTCACATCGTGGATGCGAGATTTGATCCGATAGCACATTTGGGATTCAGAGACGTGTTTGATTATCAGGTATTGGTTTCTGACTTTGTTCTGAGCAGGTATGTCACGTTTGACTCTCGGCAGGTGGAGAGTGGTGATCAGATCATTAGGACATCGCAACGGGTGGAGAGTGATGCTACTCCACATTGGGTGGGGATTTTCCCACATACTCCATATCATTCTGCATTGGTTAGGATTCCAGCTGAGGTGACACAACTTAGGAATCATTTGGATTTTGGTACAGATGATGAGTTACGTTTTGATTCGAGTACAGCTGATAGATGTAGTCTAGATATGGCCATTGGTTCATCTCAGGTGGAGATGTTTGAATTGTTTCAGTTTGGGGCCATTGGAGGTACTATCAGCCGTAGACTTGATCGTAATATTGGAGAAGGGTTGCGAACTCTTCTATTTGATTGAGGTCGTTCGCGGCCATTTGGGTGAACTACGTTCGGCTTGATTCCTTGGGCAAGAGGATACGTATGCAGTCTTTCAGATACAGCCGGTTTGGATTAGTTGATTTTGATGGGGGTGAGACCGATTTGGTGAGTAGATACCGACGTTTGGTTAAGTGTTCGCACTCCCGTTTGGGTCTCGACTTGTTGTGCATGGAATCCATTGTCATGAGTCCGTTTCCATGGCGTACTGGACGCAACAAGTGAGGTATTTGGTGTGGTTGGTGTCGGCTTAGTTTTGAGAAAACTTCACCGAGATGGAGAATTGTGAACGGATACAGGCCCATGAAGAGAAGGCCCAAAAATAGTGTTGCAGGCAACCGACTTCGATTCTGTTACTTTGCATGTGAAGTGCTGGCCCACCCGGATTCTGCAGCATAGCTTATAAATAGCCGTGATTCCCTAGGTTAATTGTGCAGGGATTTGTTCGTACAAGAGGCGGCTGATTCGTGTGCGAAGGAGGTCTAGTTTCTGGCGGCTGCAGGGTGCGTTTGTGCAGACAAGGGTTCGTGCGGCTACAGTGAAGAGGGCTTTGTGCACGGAGCCTTTTGCAGCTGCAGTTGGAAAATCACAGAGAAGCCACTGACTTTGACAGAGAAGCCACTGACTTTGACAGAGAAGCCACCAACTTTGTGAGGGTTTTTGTGCATCCCTTTGAGAGAGTATTTGTGTGAGGGATCTGAGAGTTTGTGAGAGGATTTAGATTGAGTGATTGTATCTCTCCCTCTAATAGTAGATCTCCCCTCCTTGCCCCGTGGACGTAGGCTATTTGCCGAACCACGTAAAATTTGTGTTCTTGCCGTGATTTGTAATAGCTTGTAGGATCCCTCGACAGGTCAGTTCTAGAACTGATGAGAGGAAGAACCGATATCTCGCTTTGTTGAGATATCCGCTTCAGATTCTTGTTTCCTTGGTGAGACATGAATTCTTATGATCTAATCGCTTGTTGTGCACCTTGCGCACCGGAGGTGCTGCCGAAATTTCCGCTGCGCACAACAATGCAGCTCTGAGGAATTAGAGGTATGTAATGACGCAGTTGATCTTGTTACTATTAAGTTAATTTGTGTGACTTTTTCCTTTACGATGCGGTACATGTGGAAGTTCTTTCAGTTGATGTTTTAAACAAGATATTCACAATGCTTATGTATGTTTAATTGGATTGTTGCTTTGTATCTTAATTGACATGTTATAGCTCTTATATTGATCTGATAACTGATTTAATGGTACTGATGTTATACGCCATAGCACAATTATAACTTTTCACATTTGATATTTTCTTGGCACAATGGATCCAGAAGCCTTGAAGTTGGTTAAGATGCACATGTTGGGGATACCACTCATTGATGGTAATGCACACAAGAGATCTTCTGAGCCCATGATGCCAAAATAATTAATCTGAATATTTATTTATTAACGTTATGGTTGGGGATTCTTAACGAATATGGCGTCCGAGTAGTTGGCTTCAGTTCCAATCTCATTAGCTAATAGTGTAGAATTTAGGCACAAGCCTCAAATTCAATCATATGTAGGTCTTTCTTATGTCTAAGTTGATGCTGAATTTTTGGAGGCAACTGCAAATCTCAGAAGCCCCCTTTATGCGTTTGATGCTAGTAATCAAGCCATGCTTTATGATCATTAGACGG